ATAACATAATATGAAACCGCTTTCATTCTTATACACATCCGGCAATGTATGTGGGTTACTTTGTAATGTATCCTGTGATGTGGTCTGTGACAAGGCTTTCAAATTATGCATACAGCTTCAAATGACACTGACGCAATGACCGTTAGACAACACTAGAGACAAGGACGCAGTGGGTGAAAAGCAATTTCCTATTATTGTGGAAATGGCTTTGTCACTTTTTTATGAGAAGAATATAACCATTCACACAACTCAGAGATAGGGTCACTGTGACCGTCTATCCTCCATGAATTTGTGCTACATAACTTTCTATTGAGACTGAGATTTACTGGTCCACTGCCGGTGTGGTATGTGTAGGTGTGGGGCGTATGCACACAGGGGCAGCTGGTCCGAACACTGGCGATGCTAGCTTCATGTGGTATATTTTACGGAGGAGTGAAGCTACTATTATTATTACCACTATCACAACCGCTATTACTACTACTACGACAACCACTACCACCACTACTGCTACAAGGACCACGACTATTACTACCACTACCGCCACTACTGCTACTACCGCCGCAACTACTACTACTGCTGCTACTACCACTACAACCTCTACTACTACTACTACGACTACTACTAACACTACTACCTCTACTACCACCACCACTACTACTACCTCCACTTAGATAGATCTACATACCATTGAAGCAAAAACTACGCCATATACGCCAAATACCACCAACACTACTACACTACACTACACGAATACTACTACCTCCATTACTACTACTACTGCCACTACTACCTCTACTAATCCCAACACTACTACTACCACCAACACAAGTACTACCACTACTACTACCACTACTATTACCACTACTACTAGACCGCCTCCGTGGCATGGTTTCTCACTAGGCGAGCACTATAAATCGGCATCAGTCCGGACTAGTACAAGCAGCCACACACACGCACGCACACACGCCCACCATCATTTCTACCACTACCACTACCACTACCACTACCACTACTACTACTACCACCACACCACTACTACTACCACCACACCACTACTACTACCACCACCACTACTACTACTACCACCACCACTATTACTACTGCTACTTCTACTACTGGTACTTCAACTACTACTACAACTATCTCTATTACCACCACTTCTACTTCTGCCACCGCCACCACTACCACCACCACTACTACTACTACCACTACTACTACCACAACAAGTACTACCACCAGCACCACCACTTTTACTACTACCACTACTTCTACTACTGGTACTACAACTACTCCTACTACTACTTCTACAACTACTTATGCTATCATCACTAGTGCTACTATTACTGCTTCTACTACTACTTCCTCTTCTACTTCTGCTACAACAACTAACACTACCACTTCCACCACCACCACTGAGATAAATCTGTATACCGTTGAAGCAAGAGTGAAGACAGCATTACTACTTCTACCGCCGACACTACTTCTACTACTACCACCTCCACATGCTCCTGGTCGTTGAGCATGTGTAACAGTTCCAGTGATCATAACGTGCTGCTTCCTGAGTTTGACTTTCACCCGTTTGGAGCGTTCCGATCAAATAGCTCCGGCACGAGTTTCAAATTGACACAGAAATCGACTGACCGTTACAGGTGTCCCCTGCTATTGTTTATGAGGTTCGAAACAATGTGTCCATGCCACGATTTGCCCCTGCACATCTGACACTTGGTTGTGCTCACTTTGACGCTAATGTGACCAGGGACCAGTGTTACGACACACACGTCTTACATTCAAGACACTTTGGTCAGTGACAGTTATGATTGTGATTACACTTTCTTAGTAAAGTACAGTTGTTTATCATTTATTTGGTTAAAGTCCCATCTCGGATTTGGAAGTCCGACAACTGGTAGGCTAGATCACGTAGCTTTCGGCCATGGGATCCGTGCCAATGTATAATGTCAGAGCGGTACACAAAGTACTTGATCTACACAAGAAAGTGTTATCCCAACTATATATTTGTTACATTTGACCGCATTCTTTGGTCAGTGTCTTCCCGCTTCTGTATCGTGTGTCCATGTTCTCATGTTGTTTTTATTATCATGTGATCTTGGTTTATTTATTTTCAACTTGCATACACATGGGTGACCCTTCAGTAGTTGCCTAGGGCAACCATTATACTGAGGTTAAACCACCAGACTCACTTTCACAGAATGATCTCAGGATGGCGAACCATGAAATAAACAAGAATGCCTCGCCGTGTGAGGTGTCAGAAACTATGCTGTGGAATGGGGAACCCTATATACATGTTGTATCGTGTCATGGAAGGAGACTAGCACCACTTCATTGTGAACATATGTGTCATTTGAATATAGACAAATGGTTTGAAAACAGAACAACTAGTTATGTTGCTGCAGCAACTAGGAATCTAGTGTAGACGTTGTTGTTGTCATTGTTTGTCCACGAGACCATGCAGTTGTATTACCAAGCACGTATCCCTTTTCAATTCCATAGTTCATTCACGGAACGTTGAATGTAACTGTTTTTTGCAAGGATCCCAACCCACAGTCCCATCTGTCAGTCTGTCAGTAGTATTTAACAAGGAAATTAAACATGAAAACGGATGTAAAATCATGTAACTGTGCGTTGTTTTAAAGCTTTGGCGGCGTTGAGGCCTTGTGAAATGCGCGATACGTGAAAACATGTCCGTTTCATGTGGATGATTAAATATATTTTAGCGATGTGCCATCTTCCTGGTCATCGGGAAATATAATATACTGGAGCGGTGTTCTTTTTGGAAAATGTCACAATTGCATTTCAGTTTGCTTTCTCAAGTAAAAAGCATTGGTAATAATACGTCTGATAAGCCATAGGTATTACATAGATAATGCCTAGATAATACATGGGTAATACATGTATAATGCCTAGATAATACATGGGTAATACGAGTATAATGCCTATTTGATACATGGGTAATACGTGTATAATTCCTAGATAGTACATGGGTAATACGTGTATAATGCCTAGATAGTACATGGGTAATACGTGTATAATGCCTAGATAGTACATGGGTAATACGTGTATAATGCCTTGATAGTACATGGGTAATACGTGTATAATGCCTAGATAGTACATGGGTAATACGTGTATAATGCCTAGATAGTACATGGATAATACGCGTATAATGCCTAGATAATACATGGATAATACGTGTATAATTCCTAGATAGTACATGGGTAATACGTGTATAATTCCTAGATAGTACATGGGTAATACGTGTATAGTGCCTAGGTAGTACATGGGTAATACGTGTATAATGCCTAGATAATACATGGATAATACGTGTATAATGCATGGAAAATGCAACATCGGAAAATAAAATATACTGGAGCATGAATAAACAAAAGCTAATCAAGAAAGTTAAAGAATGATTTGTGTAGTATGTTGAGTCTCTGGCATCTGCTTAGTGTTGACAACCGGCGAGTTGTAAAGTTGACCATATGACCTATTTCCTTATTACATTGAATTTTGCCATAAGCCAATATGCGTTGGATGACTAATATATAATATTTCCTACTACGCATCTCAAATTTGAAATGACTGATCTCACAAACCATTTTCTAAGTATCGTTTGGGAAAAACTGTTTCAACTGTTTCATTTTTTGTCTATAGTAAATCACATCCGTCAAATTACACCTGATAAACCATAGATAATGTCGCAGTGAGGAACTCGCTCATCGCAGAGTATGAACTAGATAGAGGTCACATAGATGTAACAGAATGTAAATATTGTGTACCAATATTGTACGGGTTTGGTGTAGACAACCCACGAGTACGGGGATAATGTTGACAACCCACGAGTACGGGGATAATGTTGACAACCCACGAGTACAGGGATAATGTTGATAACCCACGAGCACGGGGATAATGTTGACAACCCACGAGCACGGGGATAATGTTGACAACCCACGAGTACGGGGATGATGTTGACAACCCACGAGTACGGGATAATGTTGACAACCCACGAGCACGGGGATAATGTTGACAACCCACGAGCACGGGGATAATGTTGACAACCAACGAGCACGGGGATAAGGTTGATAACCCACGAGCACGGGGATAATGTTGACAACCCACGAGCACGGGGTTAATGTTGACAACCCACGAGCACGGGGATAATGTTGACAACCCACGAGTACGGGGATGATGTTGACAACCCACGAGTACGGATATGATGTTGACAACCCACGAGTACGGAGATGATGTTGACAACCCACGAGTACGGAGATGATGTTGACAACCAAAGAGTACGGGGATGATGTTGACAACCCACGAGTACGGAGATGATGTTGACAACCAAAGAGTACGGGGATGATGTTGACAACCCACGAGCACGGGGATGACGTTGACAACCCACGAGTACGGGGATGATGTTGACAACCCACGAGTACGGGGATGACATGACAACCCACGAGTACGGGTACGGTGTTGACAACCCACGAGTACGGGTGTCTGATAACGGTTCCACAGTCTTGTAATGGTGCTTGGTGGTTCGTGGAAAAACATGTTTACAGCCGAAGATGATTCGCTTCCATGCAGTCGGCCGATGACGTTGTTGCGTTGGGCTTCCGTCAGTCGTGGCATGTTTTCGCTGTTCACTCGCTGTAAGATTGTGATCGGAAGCAAATGAAAACCCAACTTTTTGATATCCAAACAAGTGATGTTGCACCTGCATGTCATGTTGGTGTGTTTCAGCGCCATGCTCTGACGTGTTTGTGTTTTTGCGATTTTCACAAATCAATCTCAATCCATGCAGAAATGACCAGTAAATTTTGGTATAAATTTTGTCTGGATATCGGCAACACTACATTTGCGTTTCTTTTTTTGCAGAGTATATATATAGCAAATCGAAACATAAAAACACAAATGATACTTCCCCCTCTTAACGGAAGAATAAAGTCCGCCGACAGTCAGCAGTTACAGTCAACCGACAATATAACCCTGAAACCGCGGCTACATCTGTCATACACCAACATTGGAAATGCTCCGCTCTCAGTAAGTAGGTTTAATGCACACACTTATTCAGTATCATGATCGGTATGTTATGATGATTCATAAGGTATATATTCCTTTCCATTTTCTCGTCACGATTAGGCTGCAATACTGCCGAAGTGACGTTAAATCTTAACTCACTCACTCACTTTCCATTTTCAGACACTTCAAGACTTCTTTGTCGATTCTGTGTTTGGCGTTCATTGTACTAACCATACGAGGTAAGTTTGTTAAATATACAGTGTTTAGTCACGATCTCCGCCACATAGGACCAGTATGTGACTAATACAATATCTCTTCTGAAGACATTTTATCCAACACAGATATATAGAATACTAAACGAGCTCCCGTGTAATACCAATTTTATGAAACGAGTTCAAAGACAACTATTCACGAGTTTCATAAAATTGGTTTAACACGGGAGCGAGTTTAGTATTTTATTTATTACTTGCCATTTATAACGTTTTTAGAATTATACTGTTGAGTATGAATAGGCCGACACCTACACGATCCACGGCCGATTGAGTCAAATGAGTCCAATTGAGTTTAACATAATACTACTTCAAACACTTCAACAGTTAGAACGTATGAATTTAATACCATACAACGGTCAACCTTTAGAATTCAGGCGTCCGTTCCACAAAATTATCGTAGGGCTAATCGCAACTCACATACTTTAACTTAGACTAACTTCTGTCGTTGCGCTACACTACGATCGCCTTGTGGAACGGGCCTTGCACCTTAAAGTTTACAATCACGTCACAATACCCGATGACGTAAATTGTGGAATTTTGTTGCACGATCCATTGGCGAAACAATGCCATGTGACGTTAGCCTAGCAACAAGGTTGCTGGGGTCATCGGGTGTGCATAAGCTCCTCTCAGTGATCTATCAACTCCATACGCAATGTTGTTGAATAAGCCAAGGGATGTTGAGAGCTTTCAATATTTGTTCGTGAAACGTGTTCCGAGAGTACATAAGCACGCGTTTTGGTATTACACGATGTATAATACAGCTGTATGTTTATTAAACGGGTGATCTCTTCACGGGCAAGTAATAGAAGGGCTTATTGGACTGTGGATACTCTTTGTTCCTTGCGTCTCATGGCCTTGGACATGGGCGTCTCAGGGTCGATGTAAGAAAGCCTATTTATGATCCTTTGTGAAATTTGTCAAAATCACTGTCCGTTTCCGGCAAACTCGCACCATGGTTATAACTCTTTTAACCCTCCGGTTGTCTCGAACTTGCCTACGGATAAGCGAAATGTGAGAGACGGTTCAGGATAATGTTTATTAATATGTTGTTCTAACTATGACATTTAATTGCGCCGCTTGTCGGCGTGAGTAGAAACATGATTGAGGAAAAGGAAAGGAACGAGAGGTATGTACGTACATGCTTTCTGATATCTGACGGCTAGTCCGGACCTTAGTTGGGTCGGGTCGAATGTTTCGAACTCCCGGATAAGTCGAACTGTTTCTCTAGTCACCAGGAGTTCCCGGCAATATTCGTCTTGGTGAACTTATGGTTAAACAAAAAGCATTTGAAGTGTAGGTATATGGCAATGTGCATATCAAACAATTTTTTTACTTGACATCCCCAACTTGACCATGTCACAGTTATGTCCCCTTATTGATTTCATATGGAATTTCATCCTGATTCTATGTTTTCAGCCACGCCATGCCGTAATGGTCAGCACTGCCGAGAATGTGACGATGACGGAGACTGCTCAACACAGTGTGAACGTGGATACTTTGGGAAGAAATGCAGGTCAGAGTGCAGCAGCAGATGCACACATAAGTCGTGTAACCTCACAGCGGTAGGCATCGAGACTTGCACGGAGGGATGTGTTCCAGGATTCATGGGTACAAGCTGCAAGATACCATGTGGCAACCCTGGGACACAGTGTACGGAGTGTGAAGGTGGATGTGATGGCGGGTACTGCATGCTGAGTCCTACGTCGTGTGTTTCTGGATGTGTTGACTCCTACTATGGCCTTGACTGTAAGCACTGCTCTGAGAGATGTAAATCATGTAACAGGTCTACAGGAATATGTGTCCTGTGAGAAGTCATGTGAGAACTGTGCAGGATCTTGTGAGTCTGGATGTGAAGGAGGCTGTAAACCTGGCTTCTATGGACATTGGTGTGATGAGGTGTGCAGTGAAAACTGCCGCTCTGGTCCCGACAGAGATTCAGTTTCTGTCTTGGAATGTGACAGAAATACGCCCAACAACTGTATCCGGGAGTGCGACAACAACACAGGAGATTGTATCCACGGTTGTAATGTCGGGTGGTATGGTACTAACTGCTCATCTCGCTGTAGCTCGAATTGTGCAAATCTGTCCTGCACTGAGTCAGGAGCGTGTGTTGATGGTTGTGCACCAGGGTATGCTGGGACTGACTGCTCATGCTATGAGAACTGTATTCAAGATATTTGTCACCCCAACTTCGGACACTGTGTGAAAGGATGCATCAACGGTTATTATGGTGCCTTTTGTAACAACACCTGTGAGATCTGTCTTGACGGCATATGTGATTGGGAATTAGGAACCTGCATTCGAGGATGTAATTTTACTGACCTTTGATGCAAATCGACCTGTACACATGATTGTCCCTTAGATGTTTGCCTTACTGATATGTCTTGTGAAGGTAGGTTCTTGAAATATGCATTTATAGATAGATCAAATAATCATATATACCATCACTTTGTGTCTTTATCCATTGTCCATGCTGAACGTCTTTTCGGGACCCAGGATGTTGTTTGAAGATGGATGTGGGGAAAGAAATACCATTGAAGTTGTATTTATTGACCAATGTGTATTTGTCTTCACAATTCAGTTAACAATCCCATCCATCTCAAAATACGACGACGTCTCTGCAACATCCTTTAACATCATGTGACATATTTAACCATTATTGAAAAAGTCAGAGTGCAGTTCAATCGCCTCTGGAATTAACCATTGACTGTTACTTGTCATGTATTGCACGTGCATGGGGTAAATCATTGGTCGCGTTTGAACGTGTGTGCTTGGGTAGCTCCGTCCATCACCTGCATTCTTGCACTTTTCAATTTTTTAATAGTCGCTGTCGATCTCCTCCAGTTTCATAAAAGCATCCAATCAGTGGGAATGAAGCAAAAACAGCATGTTTTCAACTGTTAATCACATTGTCAACATACTCAGACCTATTGTCACATGTTTCCCTGACTATTGATGTGTTGTTATTCAGCAGGCAAGCAGGCGCAGATGGATATCAAGTATATCGTAATAGGACTGTCAACATTGCTTGTTCTTACTGGCATCCTCTGTGTATTTTGTTTTGGAAAACGCTGGTCGAAAAGAAGGTTAGTCTTCAATTGCGCCACTGTTTTTTCCTCGTATTTTGAGTTATTTTATGTTTCTCTGCATAAACATCAGAACACAAGCGACAATAGACTATTTACATATCGAAAGACATTTAGTCAAAACTAAAATCTTTTAAGGAAGGAGTATTTCCCAAATGATCCAGGATGTACTTACTTAGCAGGTACGAGTCTCCCGAGATATCGTGGATCCAAATCCCAGGATAGACCAAAGTATGATCATTGTCTGTCAACATCATACACGTGCCAGTGGGCGTAAACATGCTGTATCATCTAGCTCGATGAAAAAGGTCTTCCAAGCTATTGAGTGTTCATGTCTTCTTTTTCCTTTGTATTTCACAGTAAATTTCATTAACCTTCTCAATGTATACACAGGAACGCTGAAGCACACAACTACATAGTCTAGTACGAGCCTCCATCAAACAGATATTGGGAAATAAGAGAATCAGATGTGGACCAAGAATGTGACTACCCTGAAAATGAGTCATCTGGTGTTTTGGCAAAACAGCTTCAGGAGTCACACGGTAGAGGGGCGCACGGTGACATTTCCTCCGATGATACTTCTGGAGACAACCCGTCGTACACTCACCTAGTGAGGGACATCGGTGTCGATGATAAAACAACCGATATCAAATATATAACACCATCTGGGGAAAAGGATGTGGAGTAAACTATAATTTCGAAGGCAACCCCTATCCCTCCCACTTGTGGAGGTTGAAGGGAACCTTCCCAGACGTTGCATATATCTATGTTAGATAAATCTCACAGACACTGTAAGTAGGGAAAGTGTGGTTGATCATTGGATGTGCATCAAGTGAGGACATGACGTACTATTTTGTAATATTTTGTTTGCAAAATATTAATATGGGAACAAACACCATTATGAAGCATTTTAAAAGAAGCACTGTTACAAATGTAAGCATGAGAACGAGTAGGGTGCTTGTGCCAAATGTGACTGCACAAATTCGAACTCTCAAATTCGCCCCTGCAATTGTTTTTCTCAAACACGAACAGAAGACTGCTTGTCAGAGACACGGGACATATTTTTGAAGGTCAAGTTCAGTTGTTTTTATGCATATTTGGTTGAAAAAGTAATAAGTTTATGTTCCATAGGTTGGATTTTGGAACTGTAAGCAATAACGTACTTGACTTTGCTGTGGGACAGTTGCCGATCCTGTGATGGTTAAGTTTGCTTTGTTTTTGTGTGCTGCACGTGAAGCCTATGTATATATGGATATTATGTATATACAAGGATATATCTGTCCATTGTTTTTATGTGGTTTTCGTCTGTTTTTCTTTATATTGAAAATGAGTGAGTGAGTGAGTTAATATTTTAAGTCACATCGGCAGTATTTCAGCCATATCGTGGCTTGAACAAGTTAGGCATTGATATTATATATTAAAAGCTGTCATCGAAGGACAGTACAACAACCAGCAATATATCACAGATTATAATTTTAAAACTAGTTTTAGAGCAATAAAATAATCAGTTACAATTCAAACGATACAATATAAAAACGGGCTGTAGATCGCCAGCAACCAAAGTTAGGCCACCATACTAGGGACCATGGGGACTTACGGTACTTCTGCTACCTACATGGTACCTCAGCAGGATTTACACCATCCCTCTGGGCACTGGCGATTATCAGACAAATTAGCCAAAGAGTTAAAATCAACAAAAATACTACGATTAAGATCACAGAGAAAGGAAATGATACCTTGAATGATACTGGACTTACGTACCTTCCCAGGGGGACAATTATTTTACGATACTTCAACTCCCTGTGAAGATACAGCCACCAACAATCTCAGTTATAATTTCATTCCACCAAATTAAAATTCATTTACCTTATACTACACATATTATAATCAAAATTTATCTATTATTCTATTTCTTTTAAAAAACCGATGAATAAATGAGTACTGATTTGATTAAAAAGATCCTTTATGGATGTAATTTTGAAATATTTATCCCTTGTGATGGAAAAATCAATGCAGTCAAGCAGGACATGCTTGACCGTGATTCTCTCATCACAAGGGATGCAAAATGGAGGATCCTCACCTTTCAATAAATATTCGTGGGTATATCTGCTGTGGCCAATACGACATCGTCGCATAATGACCTCTTCAAATCTGGACTGACAGCCCAAGTAGGTGTAACCGATAGATGGTTTAATTTCATGTAATTTATTGATACCTACTTGGGTGTCCCACTTCTTCTGCATGAGATCCCTGAGTGAGTGAGTGAGTTAAATTTTACATCGCATCGGCAATATTTCAGCCATATAGCGATGTGAACTAGGTTGAACAAGTTAGGCATTTAGATTATATATTAAAAGCCGTCATCGAAGGACAGTACAACAACCAGCAACATATCACAGATTATAAATTTAAAACTAGTTTTAGAGCAATAAAATAATCAGATACAATACAAACGATACAATATATAAACGGGCTATAGATCGCCAGCAACCAAAGTTAGGCCACCATACTAGGGACCGTGGGGACTTACGGTACTTCTGCTACCTACATGGTACCCCAGCAGGATTTACACCATCCCTCTGGCCACTGGCGATGATCAGACAGATTAGCCAAAGAGTTAAAATCAACAAAAATACTACAATTAAAAGCACAGAGAAAGGAAATGATACGTTGAATGATACTGGACTTACGTACCATCCCAGGGGGACAATTGTTTTACGATACTTCAACCCCCTGTGAAGATACAGCCACCAACAATCTAAGTTATGATCTCATTTCACCAAATTAAAATTCATTTACTTTATACTATACATATTATTATCAAAATTTATCTATTAATTCTATTTCTTTTAAAAAACCGATGATTAAATGAGCACTGATTTGATTAAAAAGATCCTTTATAGAGGACACTTTGAAATATTTATCCCTTGTGATGGAAAAATCAATACAGTCAAGCAGGACATGCTTGACAGTGATTCTTTCATCACAAGGGATACAAAATGGAGGATCCTCACCTTTCAATAAAAATTCATTTGTATACCTGCTATGGCCAATACGACATCGTCGTATTAGGACCTCCTCAAATCTGGACTGACAACCCAAGTAGGTATAACCAATAGTGGGTTTAATTTCATGTAATTTATTGTCTACCTGGGCGTCCCACTTCTTCTGCATTAGATCTATGATGTAAGATCCAATGACAGGTTTATAATCACTATAAGGTAAAAGAAGTGGTGTCACAGATTTGTTGAGAGCTGCTTTTGCTGCAGCATCAGCCATTGTGTTGCCTTTTATGCCCACATGACTGGGCAACCAACAAAAGACGATGTCGTATTGGCCAGTGGAAAGATTATTATAAAGTTCTAAAATATCTAAAATAATTGGATGATTAGAAGAGACTTTTTTCAGTGCCTGAAGACAAGACAAAGAATCAGAAAAGATGATAAATTGTTTATATGCAGACTTTCGTTGGATGTATTTTAAGGCTGTAAGAATAGCATTGGCCTCAGCAGTGAAAATAGAGCTAGTGTCAGGTATTCTAGATGAGATATGGTTTAATCCAACGACAGTGGCACATGCCACCTTGCCACCGTCCTTGGATCCATCAGTTAAGATTGAACGGTGGGTGTCATATTTATTACTTAATTGTACATATTCCTGTTGATAGTTGATTTGTGTCAGATTTAATAAAACGGGTTAGAGAAACGTCTACTTCTGGCCTCACCAGCTGCCAGGGTGGAGTAGACAAGAGACGATATGGTGAGATAATATCTAGATCTATATTTGCAGCAATTATGTGTGATTTCATCCGAATTCCAAGTGGTGGAATCAGCTTTGTTTTTTTCTGAAACAGCTCTTCATATAGGGGTTGAAAAACGGAGTCATAAGCAGGATTAGAAGGATTAGAGTGTAATTTAGTGATATATTGAAGAGACAATTTAACACGGCGTTGTTTCAAAGAGAGTTCATCAGCCTCGACATAGAGACTGTCAACAGGAGAAGTTCTAAAAGCACCAAGACACAGTCTGAGTCCTTGGTGGTGGATTGAATCTAGCTTTTTTAAATTACTCTTGCAAGCTCCAGCATACACAATGGAGCCGTAGTCCAATTTAGAGCGGATTAATGATCTGTAAAGGTGAAGGAGGGTTGTCTGATCCCCTCCCCACTTAGAATTCGAGACGACTTTTAACAGATCTAGGGTCTTCAGGCATTTAGTCTTTAAATATTTGATATGTGGTAGAAACGTCAAATGGTGGTCGAAAATTAATCCCAAAAATTTGTCTTCTTTAACAACCTGAATTGGAGTGCCATCTAAAGAGAGTTCTGGATCTTTATGGGGTTTATATTTCCGACAGAAATGTATACAATTTGTTTTGGTCTGTGAAAACCTAAATCCATTCTCAAGACACCATTTATGAATTTTATTGAGACACAACTGTAACTGTCTTTCAATGGTATGCATATTTTTACCACGACATGAAATATTAAAATCATCCACAAACAATGACCAATCTATTGAGTCATTTAATACTTTAGATAAACTATTTATTTTGATGCTAAACAATGTGACAGACAAAATACTGCCCTGTGGAACCCCCTGATCCTGATTATAATGATCAGACAGGGTTGATCCAACACGAACTTGAAATTGTCTGTCAGTTAAAAACTGTGATACAAATTGAGGCAAGCGGCCTCTTAAACCAAAGTCATGTAAATCTTTTAAAATACCATGCTTCCAAGTGGTATGATAAGCTTTTTCAAGATCAAAAAAGATTGATACAGCATGTTGTTTGTTTATAAAAGCATTTTTAACAAATGATTCTAAACGAACCAAATGATCAATTGTACTTCGGTTTTTACGAAATCCGCTCTGGATATCACTGATTAAATTGTTGGTTTCTAAAAACCAAACTAAGCGATTTTTCACCATGCGCTCCATGGTTTTACAAACACAGCTAGTTAATGAAATAGGTCGGTAATTGGATGGATCTGTATGATCCCTGCCAGGCTTTGGTATGGGTACAACGATGGCATGTCTCCACGAAGGAGGAAAATGTCCTGTTGTCCAAATATCATCGAAAATATTCAATAGTGTTGTGAGACAAGATTCAGGCAAGTGTTTTAGAAGCTGATAATGGATATCATCAGCACCAGTTGCAGTATCATGAGCTTGTGCTAAAGCAGTGTGTAGCTTATGTAGTGAAAACACTTCGTTATAATCTTCGCCATTGTCAGAAATAAAATTGACTTTTTTCCTTTCTTGTTGTTGTTGATACTTCTGAAACTTTGGATTATAATTAGACGAAGAAGAATGTTTGGCTAAAGTTTCTCCCAGTTTGTTTGCAATATCTGATTTTTCTGTCAATAAATTATTATCATCTATGAGATGATGAATACTTGATTTGGAACCTTTGCCTTTGACTTTTTGGATCATGTTCCACACCTTTGACATAGGCGTGCGAGGATTTATTTTGGAAACATAATCCTTCCAGGTCTGTCGTTTAATGAGTTTAAAAGTTCGTCGAGCCTTGGCATAATTAATTCTTACATTATTCAAATTATGAACAGTAGGATGGCGTCGAAAGTATTTCTCAGCCTTCTTCCTACGCTTCCTAGCTTGTTTGCATTCATAAGTAAACCATGGTTTACGAATATGTGGGTTCACAGAGGACTTAGGAATAGTTTCATCAGCTATACCTTTCAGTTGATCGGAAAACAACTGAATCGGGTCAGGAACATCCATAAAAAGGTCGTGTTGCAATTTGTCAGTACATATGTTCTGAAATAACGGCCAATTTGCCTTAGAAAAATTCCATCTTGTTATAGGTGGATCATCAGTGGGGTTTATAGCTGCAATTACTGTCGTAAAATGATCACTTCCACAAAGGTCATCATGGACTGACCATTCAAATTCATTATATAAGTTAGAATCTGTGATAGACAGATCTAATGCAGTGTACGTACCTGTTACAGGATGTAAATATGTGTTCGAGCCGTCGTTGAAGATGCATAGATTATTTATTATTTATATTGGAACTTCCCCATAGAGGGTTATGCCCATTAAGATCACCCATGATGATACAGGGCTTAGGTAGTTGGTCAAATAAATCCTAAAGGTCAGACTGCTGCAAATTTGAGGATGGAGAAATATATGGGGAACAAAGTGTGAAAGTTATTTGTAGAGTAAGACGGACAGCAACTGCCTGAAGGTTACAATGGAGATGAACCGGACTGTGGATGATGCCCTGCCTCACCAAAATGGAAGCACCGCCGGTGGCTTTATCACCTGGAGGTGAAAAAGAATGATAGGAAGTGTACTGACGCAATTCAAATTTATCAGTATGCTTAAGATAGGTCTCCTGTAAACTAAAAGCTGATGGTTTATAGTCTTGTGCTAATAACTGGACTTCATTAAAATTATTCCTTAGTCCTCTGCAATTCCACTGAATTACGTTAGGAGATTGAGTCATGGTGGCTCAATCGGTGAACGCTCACGTACACGTGAGGAGGAAGGACTCCTACTACTGCTCTGTGACGATGGGGTGACATCCATGTCCCTGATGTGACCCATGTCATTTCTGTTTGAATAGAAATGGATACTGTTGGAGGAGTTGGAGGGGTAGAGATAGCAGCAGCAGGGTAGGTTCTGGTAAGTGGAGTTGACGGGGCCTGACTGTCAATAACCTTCTTTGCCTCGAAAAATGATATATTTTGTTCAGGTTTTAGCCTGATGATTTTTGATTGTTTTTGCCACACTGGACATAATTTCGAGGAAGCCAGATGTTTGCCATTACAGTTGGAACATTTAATGTCAGCTGTACATCCAGTGCTGTCATGGCCGTCACCACAGCGATGGCAGACGACAGAGTGATTACAGGATTTAGACCCATGTCCAAACTTTTGGCACTTGAAACATCGGAGTGGATTGGGGACATACACCTCCACTCCGATGTTGAGATAACCAGCTTTAACAGATTTAGGAAGGGTCGACAGTGCAAAAGTAAGCATATACGTATTTGACGGGATGATGTCACCGTCTCTGGATTTCATTGTGAAACGCTTCACTGCACTTACTCCCTGACTAGTCAATTCATCTGTAATTTCTTGCTCCGACATGTCGGACAGGCAACGAGCTCTGTCACGAACAATGTCTCGGCAAGAATTTAAGGTTTTGTGTACGGACACAGCAACCTCAACTTTTGCAAAAGTAGATAAAGATCGCAAATTGAGAGATTGCTGTCTCCGTGAACATTCAACGAGAAGAGAGCCACTACGAAGACGTGTCACATTTTTGACCTCTCCGCAAATTTCTGAAACTGCTTTTGAAATGACGAAAGGATTAATCTTTAATGGTTGCTTATCAGCCGCCTCGATCACAATAAATCGGGCCCAGGAATCCAATTCACAAGATAATTTTTTCAGTTTGATCAGATTCATCTAGATCCACATGTCTACGTTTTGATCGGTTTGAACCAGGGTATTGGTGAGACATGATGAAAGAAAGTAATTCAGCACCCCTGCTCCCCACCCACCACGGAGAGTTACAAAGAACGGTGTTATGGTGCACCGGATATCCAAGATGCAAACACCAGGGATACAGAGATGTTATACTCCAGCAAATATGACGCAAAGAGCAATATTTGTATACCAAATTAAATGCCAGGCTGGTTCGGCCCATGACAAGAAATTGGATACATACTGAATTTGGAGGTCAACATCACCAGATTGGCCCATGAGCCACCGCCTTCTGGCATAAGACTCTAGGCAAATTGGTACATAAATAGTTTGAAAATTCAAGCATGATATACACGTCCAAGTCTATAGCTAAATAATACCTTTATAAAAATCACGAGAGTGCATACACAATTTTATGCACAGGGCTTGGCATCGGGCCCATTCTACCACCCGTCTAGGTGAAGTTAGGGTCAAAGTGGTGTGTTGGGCAAAGGAACACCGGTTCCTGGCTCCAGTGCCCTCAACCACCAGACTCCCTTCCTCCACCGACACAGGGACGCAACCCACGGCAAACAGGTTGCCCATTTTAGTCGCCTCATACGACCAGCAATGGGGGGCTGTGGAAATATTCTGCCCCGGTTCCACACGGGGGAAGAGCGATTAGCGTTAACCAGCACTCACCACGAGGAGGTTGCTCTTCACGAGTGCCTATTGAAAATGAAAATGTTTCCTGAACTAGAAATAATAGAAATCTGAGAGACGGCTTTATCTATTTCCTATTTAGATCTATTCATATAGATTGGTGGTGTTTTTAACAAGTTTGCTCTTTAAAGGGGACCAAAGGAATATTTATTTATGTTTTAAATACTGCCGATGAGTATTTTTCATTGTCCTTTACTTGTTGTCATGTATTGTAACCTCTTTCCTGGAAACATTTACCATACATGTATAATGTTTTGAGAAATACGAAATTATGAATGTTTATATATACATACTAGCATATAGAAAGTATACTTATCTCTTATATTGTGTTGAAATAGACATATTTCAATAGTTTATGCCATGTTCAAGTGGTCCTTCTACATTTATGGTAAAACTATGACCTTATCCTCCTGATCCTCATCATAAGAAGATACCCACAATCCGTGTATCATTTCTTGTGAACTTAATGTCGGTGCTTTGGAGTTCCCATTAAGTAGATGTCAGGGAAGGATTCATTAAACTGTTAAATGTCGACATCACCCAGAACGAAACCCATTGAAACTTTCTTTATCGCCTCCTGCTTTGATACGATTGGCAACCCACGATAACTGGCATGGTACTGACAACCAACTAATACTGGTATTGCGATACCAACCCACGAGTACGGGAATGGTCCTGACAACCCACTTATACTGGTATTGCGATGCCAACCCAACAGTACTCGTATGGCACTGACTACCCACTAATACTGGTATTGTGATGGCAACCTGCGAGTACTCGTATGGCACTGACTACCCACTAATACTGGTATTGCGATGGCAACACACGAGTACTGGTAAGGTACTGAAAACCCATTAATACTGGTATTGTGACGCCAACCCACGAGTACAGATAGGGTACTGACAACCCACTAATACTGGTATTGCGATGGCAACCTGCAAGTACTCGTATGGTACTGACTACCAACTAATACTGGTATTGCGATGGCAACACACGAGTACTGGTAAGGTACTGACAACCCACTAATACTGGTATTGCAATGGCAACCTACGAGTACTGGTATGGTACTGACAACACAAAAATACTTTAATATTTCCATGGCAACCTACGAGTACTGGTATGGGACTGACAACCCACTAATATTGGTATTGCGATGCCAACCCACAAGTACAGATAGGGTACTGACAACCCACTAATACAAGTATTGCGATGGCAACCCACGAGTACTCGTATAGTACTGAGAAACCACTAATACAAGTATTGCGATGGCAACCTACGAGTACTGGTATGGGACTGACAACCCATGACAACTGGTATTGCGATGGCAACCCACGAGTAATGGCATGGTACTGACAAACCACTAATACTGGTATTGCGATACAAACCAACGAGTACTGGCATGGTCCTGACAACCCACTAATACTGGTATTGCGATGGCAACCTGCGAGTACTCGTATAGTACTGACAACCAACTAATACTGGTATTGCGATGGCAACACACGAGTACCGGTAAGGTACTGACAACCCACTTATACTGGTATTGCGATGTCAACCCACGAGTAATGGCATTGATCTGACAACCAACTAATACTGGCATTGCGATGGCAACCCACGAGTACTGGTATGGTACTGACTACCCATTAGTACTGGTATGGCGATGGCAACCCACGAGTACAGATAGGGTACTGACAACCCACTAATACTGGTATTGCGATGGCAACCCACAAGTAATGGTAAGGTACTGACAAGCCACTTATACTGGTATTTCGATTGCAACCCACGAGTATTGGCACTGTACTGACAATCCACTAATACTAGTATTGCGATGGCAACACACGAGTACAGATATGGCACTGACAACCCACTAAAACAGGTATTGCGATGGCAACCCACGAGTACTGGTATGGAACTGACTACCCATTAATACTGGTATTGCGATGCCAACCCATGAGCACTGTTATGGTCCTGACAACCCACATATACTGGTACTGCGATGGCAACCCACGAGTACTGATATGGTACTGACAACCCACTTATACTTGTATTTCGATTGCAACCCACGAGTACTGCCATGGTCCTGAGAACCCACCAATACTGGTATTGCAATGCCAACCCACGAGTACAAATAGGATACTGACAACCCACTAATACAGGTATTGCGATGGCAACCCACGAGTACTCGTATAGTACTGATAACCCAACAATACTGGTATTGCGATGGCAACCTACGAGTACTGGTATGGGACTGACAACCCACTAATATTGGTATTGCGATGGCATCCAACAAGTAATGGCATGGTACAGACAACCCAATAATACTGGTACTGCGATGCCAACCCACGATTACGGGCATGGTCCTGACAACCCACTTATACTTGTATAGTACTGACAACCAACTGATACTGGTATTATGATGGCAACCCACGAGTACTGGTATGGTACTGACAACCCACTTATACTGGAATTTCGATTGTAACCCACGAGTATTAGCATTGTACTGACAATCCACTAATACTGGTATTGCGATGGCAACACACGAGGACTGATATTGTACTGACAACCGAATAATACTGGTATTGCGATGGCAACCCACGAGTACTTGTATAGTACTGAAAACCCGGTTATACTGGTCTGATGTCTGAATTCGCGACTAGAATTCGCACGTATAAGTATCAATTGGACTGATACACCAACGATGAAAATGCTCCTCTCTCATTATGAGTAAGCAGATTAAATGTTTACTAGTTAACTTTAACAGAGTTATATGTTAGTTATGATAATACATATCGGTATATTTGTGTTTTTCCCTTTTCAAACATATCATTACATCTTTGCCGGTACTTTATCCAACTGTTCACTTAAACAATGTTCAAAATATACGTGGGTAATACATACATTGCTATACTCGTCTCAGTCAGGCATACTGTTTCCAGAACAATTTGTATATCAAAACGTTTTGCAGTGAACTAATAATAGAAACGACATCTAAAGGGAACAAACTGAAAGGTTGTCTGATGTACAAAAAACTAGTTGAAATTGAAAGTTCATCAAGTACAGTTCGACAACATGTATTATAGATAACTGTTATCATTGGTCTGAACACATTCTATTCATGAGCAGATTCATGAGGTAGGTCCTACCACTTCGCTCGATACACCAACATTGAACATGTGCTTCCCTCAAAACGAGTAAGTATTACAAGTGTTTACTTGTTTTCTGTTACACGGTCTTTTTGTTGAGATTATAGATGGGTATATATTCCTTTTTTTAATTTTCAGACAGATCATGATATCTTTGGTGATCCTATGTTTTGCGTCCGTTGGACTTTTGATAGGAAGTAAGTTTAACAAATCTTCATTGTTTTATTCAGGTATCTGCTTCAGAAGATAAGAACAATGTGCTTAATAAGTCAGAACAAGGAGATGATTTCAAAGGTCTGTAACTCGCATAAACACAATATCCTATTTTGACAAATCTTTTCTTGCTATCGCAGTGATTATTCCATTATTAACGAAGTTCGACCTAAATCGAGTTACAGGGACTTCGGCAATTTCTTTCGTTATTTGGAACAAATGTGACCCATTGATCTAATGCGTCTAATTTGCTGTCATAGCTTTGAATACTTGTTTATGTTATTCTCATCTAAATATGTATTCTATTTTGCATAGCAACACCCTGCAAAGATGGCCAGCACTGTGCAGTTTGTGATGAAACGGGTGACTGCTCATCAACGTGTCACCCTGGGTATTTCAACAAGCGATGTACATCTACGTGCAACAGTGGCTGCAGACATAAAGCGTGTAAACTGCTCAAAGGCAGTGGCATCGCGGCGTGCATCCATGGCTGTAATCCCGGACTCCAGGGTACAAGCTGCAACATACCATGTGAACATCAGAGACAGTGTACAGAATGTAAAGGCGGATGTTACGACGGCTACTGCCAGATTGGGTCAGCATGTGTTTCTCGATGCGTGGACTCCTACTATGGCCTTGACTGCAAGAACTGTTCTGATCAATGTCAATCGTGTAATAGAAGCACTGGAATGTGTGAGCAGTGTCATTCTCCATACACTGGCCCCAACTGTGAGATGCCATGTGAGAATTGTAAAGGAACATGCAAGGCTGGATGCGAAGGAGGCTGTAATCCTGGATTTTATGGTCATTGGTGTGACAAGGTGTGTAGTGAAAACTGCCGCGCCGGCCTTGACGCAACTTTTGTGCTAGAATGTGACAGAAATGTCTCCAACACGTGCATCATTGACTGCGACAAGAAGACAGGACATTGCATCCACGGTTGTAATCCCGGATTTTATGGCCAACGGTGTGAAAAGGTGTGCAGTGAAAACTGCCTCCCTGACCCCAACGGAACTTTATCATCAGCATGTGACAGAAATGTCTCCAACAATTGCACCCCCGAATGTGACAAAACGACAGGATACTGCATTCGTGGCTGTAATCTCGGATGGCATGGTACTAACTGCTCATCTCGATGTAACTCAAAGTGCGCAAATCTGTCCTGCACTGAGTCAGGAGCGTGTTTAGATGGTTGTGCACCAGGGTATGCTGGGACTGACTGCTCCTGCTACGAGAACTGCATCAAACATATTTGTCACTCTGAGAATGGAACCTGTGTGAAAGGGTGCGACAAAGGTTACTATGGTGCATTTTGTAACATTTCCTGTGAGATATGCATCGATGGGGTTTGTGACGAGGAGTTTGGAACATGCATCAAAGGATGCAACATTACTTATGATGGATGCAAATCCACCTGTTCAAGTGACTGTTCGATAGACATCTGCCTTAATCAATGTACATGTGGTAAGATAATATTCATTTCAATAATAATACTAAATGTAATTATTTGTATCAATTTTCTCTCTCTGAAAATTGATTTTATTCTGAGACAATTTTCGTTTATGCTTTGAAACAAATTGACGTTTGAGTTGAGTTTGACAAAGCTTTAAACTGTATTTTTACAAATTGCTGCAGCAACCATGATACATAGATATATGATAGACTTGAGGTAAAAATACATTTTATTAAGAAAATATAAAAACATTACACATAAAAAAAACCCAGAGAACAAGGGTGGAACATATGGGTATATTTCTTGTCATCTTAACATGTCTTATGTTGAGTACAAATACCATGTATGTCATATTGTCATAATAGTGTTTAAGTGGAAGTTAATACGATAATTCCCAGATACAATATTCAGAAGTCCTCCACTGTTCAACATGTACAGTTATCCGTTATAATTCACTAGCTGTTACAATACGACATAGCTATGCAATATCCATATGTATAGACATGTAATATAGATACGTATATCGGAAGAAGTCATGTCATGGCTGGTAGGTATTTCCACATACATCCGTCCATTTGTGGGTGTTCTTAACTTGTTTCAAGTAGTCTACGCGTACAGTGGACTCACGTACCGACACAAGCCTCATGTTGTGAGAGCTATTGTTACAGTAATCCTCTCAATGCCTCGATACAGAGAGGAAACTGGAGAATGAGACCGAAAATATGTGCCGGCGTCTTGAATAGACAGTTTCCGGAGTTTGAATAATGATCTAGTAACTATGATTTAACGGGACCGGGAATACTTTTAGATCGGTTAAAATAGAGTGCCTGGGTCTTCACATTCCGTCGTGTTAGACAGTCCTATGTATTCGTCGATGTATCTGCAAAAAAATAAGAAACAAAATTGAATACCCAGCACAAACACAAACTTCAGCGCTTGACAGACAGATATCGTGCTCTCTTCTCTCCTCTCCTCCTGGCTATTCCAACATGATTGTATTTAACGGCATTGTAAACGTCTCATTAACTTAACATAGCATCATTTTATTCAGCAGGTATGCAACCGGAGGTTCATAGCAGCAACATCATAATAGGACTGACAACAGTGCTGTGTCTTGTGGGAATCCTGTTAGCAAGCTGCATGTGTCTTCGAAAATATTCATCAACAAGAAGGTAAGCTTTTAATAGTTAAAACGGCAAATAATATGAAAAAGGGTTTATTTATACATTTTGCAAAGCACACATGCGAACTTCCGTAAAGATTGAGATTCGGGGATGAATTCTCCAGCCGCCTTTGTCGATCACAATATATATAGAACATGTGTGATTAGATCATTTAAAATGTAGAACGGGTGTGAATAGTTCATTTAATACATAGAACGTGTGTGACGAAGTAAGGGTCATTAGATTACTGTGAGGGTTTTCGACGTCTGAGCAATTCATCACAAGCTGTAGATTGAAAACAACTGGATGTTATTTGCTTGTCATGATTCATCTTCGTCTTCGTCGCAAAAATGTCGAACATGGCGCCTTGTAACGCATCAGTGGCGTTTGTGTTGTACATGGAATCAGATAAGCAGATACATAAAATTGGGGAAGTAAATATGGCGACTGAATTTTTTAACGCCATGAACAAATCTTAGATTATGATGCTGAAGCAGAACTGCTTGAAATTGACCAATCCCTCGATCTTTTTTCTAATTACCTCTGCACAGAGATCATTCACATTACCAGTTATTCCAACATGGACTTCTTCCATATAGCGCTAGGCAATAAGTTTGCATATGTCATGAAAAGGTCAAAGTTGAAGATCACGATTAGAAAAACAACTCACAAATGCTTGTGGTTACACGTGCTGAACATAATTTATGCATTTCTCATCAAACTTGGTAGGATGAGACCCTGCTTTGAAAAGGGTTTGATCAATGTTTGTGACAGATGCAACATTACATTTCGAGAACCGGTTACCTCTAAATACACTGAACTTTATATTTACATGTTTCTTCAGACGTAATTCAGAATTAGAATACCGTTTGTATTAGTTTCATATAGCCAGTAATGGTACTCTCGTTTCACCGGATTTTCTGGTTCATCGGTCACTTCATTGTCTGGTTTGTTTACAGGTTGGCGTCGCATGGCAGGAGTACTGCTATACTGCAGGCAATAAATACTTACTTTATGTATGCAAATTGTGTGAATGGCGGGTTCTACCGGTAGGGCAGGACATGTTAATCCTTTTCGCGAACACCTGGTGTCATCACTGACTTTCAGTGGTCCATCCATATAATTTCCACAATTATTTTCCCTTTACGTCAGGTGGAATCGGTTTTGGCAGAAAATCTTGGCTTGTTATTCTCTTGCATTAATAATTCATTTTTAGAAATACTTCCACAAACGATAGCAATTGCATTTATATCAAACGCTATATTTTACTATTATTAAACCTTCTTTCAATATAGGACAAATCAAGCAGACCAGTACTTGGAGGCGTACCAGCCCGCGTCCATGTATTGGGAAATAGCAGATGAAGATGTGAATCTAGGAGGCCAACCACTTGATACCGAGGCGAGTGATGCACAACTCAGGGAAGTGCAAGACCGTGAAGCGGATGTTGCATCGGATGGTACTTCTGAAGACAGCCTGTCCTATTCTCACCTTGTGAGGACCTCTGTGTTGATGGCCAGAAAACTGTATATTATAAACACATGCCATCAGCAGCGGAAATCACAACCACGGCCACGAGCTGAACATCCGCCGTGAGCTTCTTAATGTGTTAGCTGGACACGTTGCTCTTTTAGGGCAAAATAGTAATACTACATGAGTTCAAATAACAGGTACCTCTATTCATTTTCTTTGAACCCATTTAGTCAGCATCCCACGACGACTACAACATTCTGCCATTGTAGTTTGCGTGAAGCCAACCTTGCTTTATTGTAATCATATTTTGATTTGGGGGAAAAAGATAAGATACAGTCCTTACTTACCTTATACATTTGAAACACTTTTTTGGAGCAGGTTCTTAAAAAATGCCCTCATCTGAAATTGCTGTCTTGGAACATACAGCATACAGCCACTAGTTCAGCACTTGGGAGGTCATAATGTACTGCAGGCAATATACTTCATACAACAGTGTCACAGTAGCTGCACTTACCCGATATCGACTCACAGCACGTGTTGTCTGTTTGACCTGAAAGCCAAAGGTGTTCTTTGTGCAACATGTTCACTTTACACATTGAATCCTCATGTATGTAACCACACCTGTTTGGCATGTTCATGTTTTTTTTTATTAAATCATGCATTTTCTGAAGTCAGTATGGCAAATTAAACCATTTGAACACTTTCAGGAGTCTTTTATCTGTTGCAAACCGAAATTGTTTCAGATTTGGTAAAAAACATAACTTTGCATTAAATCTTATTCAATGTCACAGGAAATTTTGTTGTGCAGTATATATCATCAGCATTTGTTTGTGAATCACTATCAAATAGTGAGCGTGACCGTTTCCTGGCCCCGCATGCACCGAAGGTGAAGATCAGCAGAGATCTTTGAACACATTTAGTCAGCATCCCACGCCGATCACAACTTCAGCCGTTGAATTTTGCGTGAAGCCAACCTTGCTTTATTCTAACAATATTTTAATTTTGTGAAAAATATAAGATCCAGTCCTAACTTACCTAATACATTTGAAACATTTTGGAGCAGTAATGTTATAAAATGCCCTCGTTTGAAATTGCTGTCTTTGAAAATCAACGCTAAACATGACAGTCACCAGTTCTGCACTTTGAAGGCCAGAATGTTGTGGAACCAATATATAGTCAAATTAAAAACTTCAAATTGTTATAAGTAATCCAATATATGATATACAACGGACAAATGTATCAGAGAAGGTAATTTTTAATCATTCATGTCCAAAGAAGGATTTTAATTAACGGTGGTAACAATATTTTGTTACAAGCACCAACGGTATTCGGTAATAACATCAACAGTTTTAATCATAAATCCCAAGCATAAGAATCTGATGACACACAAGTTCAGTATCGTGTATGGCCACCATGTGCGTTGACAACTGCCACACAACGCCTCCGCATGGACCTTGTGATGCTTGTGATTGGGGAGACGGGGAGACGACGCCATTATTGCTGCAAAATGGTGCCAAGATCTTGCAAATTCTGTGGTTGGTTCTGGAGAGTGCGCAGTCTTCTGCCAAGAGCATCCAAGACGTGCTCGATGGGATTGAGGTCGGGAGACCTTGACGGCCAGTCCATGACGTTGACTCCTGCATTCTGAAGGAAATTCCTTGTCAAAATTGCTTTGTGGGGTCTGGCATTGTGTTGGAAGATCAAACCGGGTCCATGTGCTGCCATAAAAGGCAGAAGTTCTGGTGCCAGTACCTGGTCGCGGTAAGCAGCAGCGTTGAGGTTGCCACGGATGACAAGAAGCCTGGAACGTTCATTGCCACAGAAAGCACCCCACACCATGACACTTCCGCCTCGAAATCTGTCAACTTCCTGTACACAACACTGGGCGTAACGTTCATGACGGCGCCTCAACACCCTCGCCCTACCATCAGCAAATCGAAGATTAAATCGGGATTCATCACTAAGACGACTTGATTCCAATTCCTCTGAGTCCATCGTAAGTGTCGCTGTGCCCACAATTGACCTTGACGCCTGTGTAATGGAGTCAGAATCGACCCGCAGTATGGCCGTCGTGCTTGAAGGTGAGCAGTTATCAGACGGTTTCGTACAGTTTGCGCACTCAGTCTACCCCTAAACATTTAATTTCTGGTTGATGTAGCCGTCACAAATCGGTTACGGAGGTGACGTAAGGCAATCTGACGATCCTCTGCATGTGACGTCACACGTGGTCGACCTGGCCGATGGCGATCAGCGGTGGTACCCGTTTGCTGTAGACGCGTCTGTAAATCATTAACAGTCCGTCGACTACAACCCATCGTCCTTGCGACTTCAGCTACGGACGTTCCCGTCTGCAACTGCCGATGGCACGTTCACGTTGCACATTTGAAAGGCGTGGCATGACAAATGGCCGTAAAGACTTTTGTTTTCTTGTGTTTTTCTTTTTTTGTTAATGACTTCTAACACGTATGGCTGAAAACACGTGCGGTATTATGGCCACGTGACTAGTTGCACGTGAAAAAACTCTTTTGCCACTATAGTGCTGTGGAAATGATTTGATCGATTCACTTGCACAAAAACGGGTGTTATCTGAAGACAGTACGTGGCCATTACTGTTTAAATACACAATAAGGGCCCACAATGATAACTGGTCAAAATGTTAAAGTTTTAGTATTGAGAAGTTTTTAATTTGGTTCAGTATACGTTATACAGCAAGTTGGCTGCAAATAGCCCGAGATCAACTCACGGTTGTGGGCTGTCTGTTTGAGTTGAAAGTGAAAAGGCGTTCTTTGCGTTATCTATTCAAAAGTACACAGGGATATGGTTTTCGTCATCTCCTTTGTATCTATATGTATGTAACTACACCTGTTTAGATCTATCTTTACAAAATATTTCTCTCGCCTGTTCAATGTCCATTCAAACTCAACACTTAATTCTTGTCACGTACCGAGTGTGGGTACTATTGTGTAGTCTTTCGGTTAAATATTTCTAAAGGGATTGTAACAGACACACGGGGAGTGTGTGTTTGGGAGCAAACACGTATCGTCCCAGATATTTCGGTAAGTAAATATATGCGAACTGATCATAAATTTCAGTGTCATTTTGTATAAACATGTTTCAGTCATCAACGTAGAAATGAGAAATGACTTTGTAGAGAAAGAGGAATAACTAGTTTGTGCCGTGTTATATAATCACATATTTATATATGTATGTGGTACTCACGTCCTATTCAAACGACAACTTTATTCCACACCTAACGTTATATTTAATCGTCAATGTTTAATAACGATCTTGCCTGTGATTTTATCGTACATGGAAAGAGGCGGTGGGGTAGCCTATTATCAAAGCGTTCGCTCGTCGCGCCGAAGACCCTTGTTCAAATCCCCACATGGGTACAATGTGTGAACCCCATTTCTGGTGTCCCCAACCGTGATACTGCTGGAATATTGCTAAAAGCGGCGTAAAACCATATTCACTCTTTATAGCTGTAACTTGAAACTTGTGTTTGTTTGTTTGTTTGTTTCTTATTAAACGCCGCACTCAGCGGTCTGTAAATAATCGAGTCTGGGCCAGACTATAACAAAGACATTATATATCAATGTATCGCCTAGCGAGTCTGGCACATACTGTGAGGAAGGCAGTCCAATATATATGCGATTCATGTATACATACAAGCTCGGGTTTGTGAATGATAATAACCTAGTCCCTGCTCTCCAGTTATGAATGCCAGCAGGATTTACGTCATCAATTTAGCCACTGGTGGTTGTGCACAATACCAGACAGTATTAAAAAATACTCAGCAATGCGTTGGCTTAGAAACACTGGTTGATGATAGTTATATCGATTATGATAGGATTACGTGTCACAAAGTTGGACAATAATTGTATGATACTTTAATCCCTGGACAGAGCCTTCAATAATGTCAGTTGATAATAGCATCACACCAAATGCAAAAACAAGCATTTAATTATCCACATTTAAAATTTATTATACAGACAAATTTCTTTCAAATTGATGATAATAAGATGCCCGCTGACCGCAACAGAGAACTCTCAGATTTACGCTTTGATAATGTGAATCCCTTACAATTGCAAAGTCCACACAGTCAAGCAACATATGCTTGGCGGTGAACCTTTCATCACAGGAGATAAACTTAGGAGGTTCGTCCTCGTCTATCTTAAGCAGATATTCGTGGGTAAACCGACTGAGGCCAAAAATGCATCGTCGTAAAACAACCTCGTCATGTCTTTACTGACAACCCAAGCACATGTAGGTTTGACCGATTGTTGTTTTTAATGCTACCGCTAAAGGGACCACATGGTTGATCACCGTTTAGGGAGAATCAGCTAAAATAAAAGTGTATGTAAAAACTGAATGCTTTTTTAATATGTGTGAAAAAATACTTATTTTTTACGTATGGGCTGAAATAATCACAAAACCTGTCCATTAAAGCCTTTAAAATTGAAATTGTTTAGAGGTATCACAAAGGTACCACGAAGTCGGACGCACTTGTATGCAGCATTAAGTCAGCACATGGACACTACAGAACCTTCACTAAATGTAAAATTTTACTTTTGCTTCATCGGGCACCTTTCATCATTCCTCATCGCGATCTGTTTCTTACTGCCTCACATATGTTATTACCAAGCTTCCGATGGAAGTTCATGAGACGCAACTTTTAAACATGAACAATGCCATATATTGATGGCGATGCGACAAGAAAGGGAATGTATTGACTCAAGACAATGTTTTTATTTTTAGGATAAACGATCAGCTAAATATCACGTGCGTATTACGACCAACTGGTCCCTTTGAATTAAAAGATGTATTTTGTCTCCGGCATCCTTGTCTATACAAACAAAATAACAATTTTGTTGTATAGAAATCGTCTCGTTAATAAACATTGAAAATAACACAATTTTAATACCAGATACCGGCGGCTTCGGTCAATGATACATGTTTGTGATGCGAATTTCTTTTTTTCATGATAATTATTTCAAAGTCTATCTCTCAAACGATAACAAAGAAACATCAAGAAAGTATCTGCTTCTATGTTTACTATTACAATATTGAGGATGAGAGTTTTGGTGGTATTCCAGACTGACTATGAATAATGGGAATCCAGG